TTCTTTCTTTGTTGATAAATTTCCGTGACAGATTATAAAATTACAAAATATTTTAAACCACCGGATGTTACAAATATATGATGGGCCGTACTTGGGCTCGCGTCTTTTGTTTCCTGAACTATATTCTAGAAACATATATACATTTAGTTCTTAAAATATTATTGCTATATTTCCTAGTAATTCTATATTTCCTAGTAATTTATTCTACATTTCCTAGTAATTTATTCTACATTTTCTAGAAATATCCTAGTATATTCCTAGTAATTCTATGTTCCTAGTAATTCTATACTCCTAGTAATTCTATATGCCTAGTAAATCTTTATTCCTGGTAATTCTATATTTCCTAGTTTATTCTATATTTCCTAGTAATTCTATATTTCCTAGTAATTCTATATTTCCTAGTAATTCTATATTTCCTAGTAATTCTATATTTCCTAGTATATTGCTAGTAATTGCTATATTTCCTAGTAATTCTAAACTTTTCTCCAAATCTGCTGTCGTTATAGTAACAACGCTGTCAGTCCTTCTTACTTTAATCAATAAATAGAAAAAAAATTATTCTGAAACTCTTAAAATTTGTTCATAAGAAGCGTTTTAAATATCGCCAAGATTAAATTAAAGCTATAAAGCTCATTACAGAAAGTAACACTTTTTCCACCTCACAATAAAACGTTATTTTATCTGGATTATTTAATGAATTTCCGACATGAAACTAAAGCTGCAGTGCTGAAGAACTCGAATTACCCGAATTTTAAAGTATCGAGGTTTATTGTTTTTCCCCTAGATAAAATAAGACTAAGCACATCGTTAATTTATTCAAATAAAAAATGTTGATTTAAGGAATTAAATTTATAATCTAATAGAATATTTAATTTTACGAAACTATTTATTTAATTTAGATTATGGTGCACGACGCAATGGTTGCACTAGTTTTAGCAAAATGGTAAAAAATATTTTGAACGAAGTAGATTATGCATTTTGGTTTACATAATGAAAAAATATTTCTTTCCTTAATTTTAAATATAAATATAGATAATAAATATAGAAACTATTCCGTGCCCTTTAAAGTTATCATTATTAATAATTTTAAAGTTATACACAATAATAATATAATATAATTATTTTCAAATAAAAATTAATAATATAATTATTTCCAAATAAAAATTGATTTCATTGCTTTCTTTTAGTTGAAATTAAAATGAACGCTGTGTTTAAGCAAATAAAATATGATTTTCTTGTTTAATTTTGTCAAAAACATGCGCTTTTTTTTAATGAAATAAAAATATTTTATTATTTTGGCTGCATAACATTTAGAAAAAGGTACGTTTAATGAAAGAAATAAAATGTTTTCACTTCGCATTATAGTAGATAAAAATTTGAATATATAAGAAAAATATCAATTAATCCTTGGTCTATAGAAGAAAAAAAATCAATTACTCAAATACCTATATTTTCCATTATCTGATGGATTTTGACTGTTGGACCATATAGTTTGAGTTTTACGGTCATTCCATTGGCCATTATGCCTCAGAAAAATAAGAGGTAAGTTCATGAAACATGTTTACATCTATCTTTTGTTGAGCATAATAATTTTTAATTGCCCAAAGTTCTCTTCTAGATGATAAGAGAGTAATTTGTTTCTATGAATTTTCTAATTAGTGTCCCTTAACAACTCTTGATCGTTGTCCTTGACATAAATAAAAATTAATGCCATGAAAATTTTTCTAACTTCGTACTTGGCCGACAAGGAGATAGTCTCATATATAGGTTTAAAAATTTCGACGATATTTTTTAAAAAATAATTCCGCATGTTATAAGGGCTCGCATGTTTAAAACGAATCATACATTGCACTGGCTTCACAAAAACAAGCACATGATAGTAAAATGTTTTAAAATATGGAAAAGTAAAGTTTTGATTAACACTAAATTGCACATGAAGGTAGCAAATGTGTTAATCCATAAAAATCAAGCAGCCCAGCTGCGTTGGGACAGCTTTTCCGCAAAACGGAGTTTGGGTTACCAGAAAGAGGCAGGAAAAGGCAGGGTTACCGCATTTGGTGAAATGAATCATCGCAAATTTGGCGACAAAATTGGCGATATGTCATAGACGGAATGAGAACATTCTAGAACGCTTTCCTTGAAGGTTTCTCGAGAATATTCTCGAAGGTATATAACCCTGCCTTTTCGAGGAGTATTAGCGTATCTTAAGTTCAGTAGTGTCTTAGGCTCAGAGATTAGCTTGAGAACGATCGACAGAGTCGGGAGCTATACTTAAGTGCTTTGCCGTGAAGCTCTCTTCATCTTTATAGCCTGGAAGCTGTGCTGCTGATTGTTTCAAAGCATTTGTCGTAGTTTTTCGGCGACTGTAAACGTCTCTTAATCGGAAATTAAGACAATTAATCAATTGTCTTAATGGAATTGTTCTGTGTAATACTGGCGAATAAATTATGTTTTGATCCTTCATCAAGTGTTATCATCAATTACTACCCCAATCCACTAACCCGAAGAACGCAACAATATTTATTCTTAATGTGTCAATAATAATCTATTTAATTTTACTTTAAAAAAGGCGCATCAGAAGAAAAACCACCAAAACTAATTACTAAAAAAGAACAATCTGAAATTTATTCTAAATTAAATAAAGAACTTCAGCCGTAAGGAAGTTTCCTATTCTTCACTATGTGTCTTCATGATAAAAGTAGTGGTACGTTCGGAGTTTGGATTCTGGTGAGGGCATTACTGATTTTTCCGATATAAAATCACTGGACTGGGTTAAGATGTGATAATTTTCTTTTAATAATTTCGTAATATGTTTTCAGTAATTTCCTCCTAATACATGATAAGGTTATTATCATGTCTACCCATACGCCACTCATGAACTCGAATCAGAGAATTTTTAATCTTAGTGTTTGTCCCTCGTAGAATCAAGCTGTCGTTAAGTTAGGGGAGTCATAAACTGAGGAGTAACTGTACTTTTAAATGAAAGCTATACAATTTTATCGCACTGAGTTTCATTTATAATGCTATATCGTCTTTTCATGGTGACACCTCTCTACAATGATGATTTACAAAAGTGATTAGTATTTCTGATAACAAAAGTAAACAGTAATAGAAACCTTCTAACGCGGTCACCTCTTAAGAAAACGAAAATTATTTAGAATAGTTGATGGTGGTTTTCGAGAACAATCTCCGTATATACTAAAATTGTAAGTACATTATTCAATTGAAGACATCTGATTCTATAATATTCTAACAAAATAGCGCACTTTTAAAGTCATTTGCCACAAAATATTAAATTTTAATACTTTGAAAATTAATTTAGCCTTTCATATTGAGGAAATCAACGAAAACTTATTTCGTGCAATTTAGGAAGAGCGCTATACAAAAGTTCTGTTAGAAAAAAATCACAATTTTTAAACAGTAAAATTATAGGATACTGCATAATACTGAATCCATTTTAAGTTTTTATATCGAGTCCTGAGCTTATCTTTCAAATAGGAATTAAACATTATTATTTTTTTGAGTAATCTAGGAGGCGGAAAAAAAAAAAAAAAAAAAAAAAAAAAAAAAAAAAGATGTAAATAACCATGATTTGGGTTTCTTAAAACCTTTTGAAACTGAAACATTACTCCCATTTACTCAATTATTATTATTTTAATACTCCCCTCTGAATATTTACATATATTTTACAGAATGTGTAAGTATTTTCATTACGTATATCATATTGTTTTAAGACAGTAGTAAATGTGGTAAATTTGCATCACAATGCATGTTTTTAATAAGTTGCTCTGCTCTCAGGTTCCTTTCATTCAAAGTCAGTTGCCTGCATATACTTCACAAGACGATGAATTCTCGCTGGCGTACTGCAAGAATCATTATTAGGAAATTCAAAATTCTGGCTGCTAGGTGTTTTTGTGTGGAGCCCTGCGTTATTCAGGATTTGATTGCTGCAGGTACTGTCGTTTTATTACAATGAAAGAAAAGTATGGACATACATGTGGGTTCTTCACTATTTAATTTCTTAAAAATAATACAGGGTGATAACATTGGGCGACAACAACTTCAAAAGTGATACGTCGCTTATAACGGAGAATGCAAAATCCCACTTCGAGATGAATAGTCCCTTTTGTGTTAAAAAAAGGGGAGAAAGCAGGATATTCATCATCATCGATGCTTACCAGCTTTGTTGCGCGTGCAGAAAATGCTAAATAATTTCAAGTGAAAAGATATTATATATATAGGGTATATTTTGTAAAAAAAAAAAGTTAACTAGAATTTACATGGAAGAAAAATAATTTGTTGAACTTGTATGCTGAATTTTCTGAAGTTCTAAATTTCGTTTATTTGCATTCATAAAGGAGTGCAAAATTAAGCGATTGCGGATAACTGAAATTATTTTTTTTTATTGTTTGGTCAAGGCTGCGTATCTTGTACTCACAATGCGTTTAGCAAAACGTGTCCAAATCTTCAAGTGAAGAAATACTTGTTTCTCTTGATGGCCCTACAGTTGAACACCCTTTTCGCAATGTGTATGATAAGCATTTTGTTCTACCCGCTGGCAACGGTTTGTCCTTTATCCTTTTTGAATTCTCAGGTAGTACTACAAGTAAGTTTCCCTTGTAGTTCGTGCTTGTACTTGAAAACAGAAAAGAATATAGACGTATAAATCCTACTACGCAAGAAATAAGTAAGGTTTTACAGTTTTGATACGTGACAAGAAAAGAAAAAATAGTTTGGAGTCTACTTTTATAAAACTTCTGCTTCTCCTGTGCTTCAGACTCACGTATTATTGTTCTAATGCATTAATATCTCAAATACGTTTCGATTTGCGACGCACATAATTCAACAGCTGTAATATTTAAGTGCCTTCGCCGGGATTAAAACCCTGGATTTCGTGAATACATGTCGTGTATGCTTGCAATTACGCCACGAAGGCATGCGAAATTGAGGGAAGAAATGCCTTATAATGTTAACACTCACCTTTAGAACTAAAAGCTTACCTTTGGTGTATTCTAAAGAATTTGTTAAGACCTAATACTTCCAACCAATACGCTTCCCATCATCCTGAAAAAGAACATAACTGTTCTTTTCCTTTATTTAGATGTAGATATTTTAGCTCTTAAAATGCTGATTCATTCATATGTGCCGTCGAAAACGGAAGTAAAACTGTTATTGCCCTATTTACGATCGTGGATTAATACATTATGTATAAATTCGAATTGGGATCTATTGAAGATATTAAGAATTGTATTTTCGCTGTAAAATTGCTTAAAAAACTGACACCTGAACACCTGAGTTTTTTCTTCGAGGCTTAGTTCAGTAAGATTTTGTGCGAGACGTTCAAAAGAAAAGAAAAACGGAAAACTACTTTTTTAATTATCACAATGAAGAGTGAAAGGACGCATTTTATTACTGAAGATTGTAGCATTTCGTAGTATTCTGCGTAGTTAAGAATGTACCTATGCATTTTTTGTTTCTTAATTTTGAGTATGTTATCTTAAAAATTTGAACTTAGAGGAAATATAATAATTTACTTAGTATAAGGAAATGACATCAACCATCTTTTTTACTAATTTTTTTTGGCTACTGAATGGAATAATATTTCCTAATTTTTGCTTGCATTTCGAGTCTTAAATCTATCCTAAAATTTTTAGTAAGATTAAAATATAAGATCTTAGAAAAAATATTTCTGGAATCTTGGTTCCACAGTTTTTAGAAATTTAAGAAACTCATCTTCACGTCTCACTATTTGCTCTAGTTTTCATAGATTCGCATTTTTTCCAAACATTCATTTATAAATTCTAACACGACTTCAATTCCAAACATTCATTTATAAATTCTAATATGACATTAATACTATTATAGTAATCAACTTTTGTATGGTTTATTTACAAATTGCACTAGTATAAAAAGTACATTCGCACACTGCCTACATTCATATAATGATTGCACCTTAATTTTCAGCAGGGAATGTAAGGTAAACAGACTTCCCCGTGTATTTCCCTTACTAGCATTTTTAGGAAGCAAAAACGATCATAATGAGTGAAAAAAAAGGATGGGTAGAAAAATGGTCTCTTTTGTGAACTGGAGATAACTTACAGAAATTTTTAGCAGAAACTTGTCAGTTCCAGGCCATCATTCGAAAAGAGTATTTCAGATGACATGAATATTATTTATATAGGAGTTCTTGATCACGTTTGTGAGAAAAAGTAAAACTTAACGGCTTTTCCAGGAGATAATTGGCTGGGAAACGAGAACTACAATTATACAGAGGTTGTTCGCCCATTTTTTAGAAAATTTTGCTATTAAAAAATACCGTCTGCTTGGAATTATTTTTAACTGCAATTATATTTTTGAAAGTATAAATTATCGTCTAGTACTTGATAATTTTGTTTTCATGCAAAATGGCGCTTTTAAAAAACCAATGGATGGCAGACCACGTTAGCGCTTCTTTCGAAGAAAATAATTCGTATCTAATTATTCTGTGAAAGCCATGTTTTTTAATATCTGAAGCTACAATAGGTAATATAGTCAACGAAAGAGGAAGGAAAAACCTCAAAATTTGGCTTCAAGTGGAAAAATGTTTCTGAATACATATCCAAGGAAAAAAACGGAATGTATCGAATGTTGCAAAGGCAAGATCTTTAATGTTTAAAGAAAATTCATAAAGAAGGACAGTTCCAAAATCATTAATATCCTCAGTGTCAACTGTAAACAAAGTGATTAATGCAGATTTCAATCTTAAAAGAGGCGGAAAAGCATAATGTGCATCGTCTTTCTTCAAGACATATCGTCGAAGGCAGAACATGCTGCAGAATTCTTTATAAGAAACATATATAAGGACAAAAATCGAAAAATGTTGTTGCAGTAGATTAATCTTGGGTGCATTTATAATTACAATAAAAAGAGATATATTTATTATCATCAAAAAGGAGAAAAGTTTCTTAAAGCATGCTAGTTGCTGGTTTTTCATATAATGGTGAATTAAAAATAAAGAGCCTGGATAAAAATGGTAGATAACCTCCACATATTATCAAAAATATATTTTATACCCAAATTTTCAAATATGAAATTCCTTTAAATATGAATTAAATTTCAAATATGAATACCCATAGTACCATCAATCAGAAAAACTGTATCAAGACAAAGCAAACAGCCATATGTTCACTATTAATTTCCAGCAAAAGAAAGGAACAAGAAACGGGTATCAAGGGTCCACTTCATTCATACACCTGATATATCAGGGAATCCATTAATTCTCTTGATATAGCATCCATGGTCTTTTATGCTTTTGGATTTTTAAAAAGCGGATTGTCAAACGTCGACCTACAACCCTCCATGCACTTCGTAAAACTGTTCAAGAAGAATGGGATAAAATACCTCTTCCGATACTGCAAAAGGCTTTATTGTCTTGGAAATTACGGTGTAGAAAGATAGTGAAGAATAACAGTTTTCAAATAGATCATTTTAAACATAAAAATTTAGGTAAAATGTTTCTGCAGTTGCAATGAAAATCGTCAAAAAAAGTGTGCAAACAGCCGCTGCGCATAAGGTAAACAAAGTGAGTTTGTGTGTTTTAACCTCGTAAAAGCAAAAGAAGTTTTCGAAGTAGTTATACACGGGAGGATTTTATATTTACTAATAATTAAAGGCATTTAATTATGGTATTTTTCAGTTCTTTTGCAGCTGTTTTATCTTTCAAGACTTAATCATGAGCTGAGATAATAATTTCAATTTATCGAAATTAGAAACTAAATGGCCAATGTAAAACCACAAATGCAAATTTACTTTAAAACTTTAGGATAAAATTTACAGAAATTATTAATATAATGTTATTATAATTAACGTAGTTATTAAAATACATTTCCCTGATAGTGCCGATATTTATCTCTTGATAAAATAAAAATACTGTTCAATAATAATTAAATGTTCGTCATTTCTAATTTAAGTATATTTTGTTCTATTTCCATATTGTTTCCTTCTATTTCTTTTATTTTACAATTTTAATAACTCTGTTCATCATGTTGCATTTTGATCTCTTCATGTTTAGCACACATTTTATTTTTCGAAATACTGAAATATTACGTTACAGAGCAAGTTTTATTACTTTATTCATATCAATTTTGATTGCAAAACAGTTGTCATATTTCTGATAAATTAATTTAGTGGTTGTTGTTTTGCATTGGCTTTAAATCTTGCAACGTTCTTTTACATTAGTTAACAAGTTATTCTATGTTTTAGATCTTTACTGTCACTTTCCCCTTCCGTTTTCCCACCAGAATGCAAATTAGTTTGCCTGTGTTTAAACTAAAATTTTTAGACTGTGAGACAGAGCGTGCTCTGCATCTTGAGGCTACTTGAGGTCGCTGGAATAGATAAGATTTGTAGTCTTCGGTACTGAATTATAATTGCCATTAGTTGAATATGAAGTCCAATAAGTTTTTAGCCGATTTCGAATTAAATGATTTGTGTAGCCTTCAGTTACTAGCTTATTTGAATTTAAATTTGACTTTTGGACTTACTGTACTGTAAATTATCTCGCCACAGGTGGCTGGCTGAATGTAATAAGCCAGCCACCTGTGCCGAGATAATTTACAGTACAGTAAGTAAGCAACAATAATATATGATATGAATAAAGTGTGCCTGCTGTTCTTATTGAGTTTTAAATAATGAGTCCTTTTCACCCAAATTTTAATCGTTATTTTTGAGTTAGCGATAATTCATTGCCAGTCTGTCTAAAGTTTAGTTACAGTTTATGATTGCAAAGAAGATATCTAAGCTTTATAACCTTATAAGGTATTTCTCCTGCTTTGCTAGCGTGCCTTCGTGGTGTAGTGGTTCTGCACGCTGGGCCGGTATTCCAGAGGTCCGTGGTTCGATTCCCGGCGTTGCTAATTTTTCAATCTCTCTTGCTTCCAAAAAATCTTTATATCTCTACAACCTTTTGTTCACATTACAAATATTAGAATTTTAATCTGTCTTTACATAATTTATGTATGTAAATGGTATGGTATCTGTCTTTACATAATTTAAGCTTTATGTTACAAAGGTAATTAATTTAACAATTACAAAGGTAATTTTTAAATTAAAATAATCTGTAATAAACATAGTTATTTACCCTTTAACTGAAATATTGAAACTACTTTCTTATTAAATTCCCAATCTTAGAAACGTGTTATACATTTGACATGTTACACGTACATTTGACATGTTACATGTTACATGTTACATGTACATCTGATTAATGGACTTGGATAACTTCGGGATCAATGGTGTGTTTTCAATGTAATAAATTTGAAAATTTGCGAAATTTTTATAAAACAACTGGAAGTTAGAAATGATATTTTACTTATTTATTTATTCATTCTTCCTGTTTCAAAAATGGGAAAAACTTTATAATAAAATCAGTTATTTCGCGTAAGAATTTCTGTGACGATACTTTCATTTTTCTTTCATGTAATACTATTAAAGATTATCATAATTATATATATAGTAAAGCCTCTCATAGAAATCATCTAGTTCAGAAGATCCATTCTAGAAGTAATTAGTATTTAAGTATATAGACATGGGTAAGACATTACCTGTTACTTCATTACCTGCACTGTAGGCCAAAACCGCAAGGAGTCACCTTATAGAGAGTTTACTGTATTTATTATCAAGTCACTTTGTTTAATTTTATGACACTGTAAATTTCTTTTTTCTCACACTTTGTTTTTGATTTTATACCATTTATGTTGTCTGCAGTCGTTTTGCGTAATATAAATGTAATGATTTTATTTGGCATGTATTAATTATGCTTATAAATATTTATAAAAATTAGTGCATGATATGTTGATAAAATTTATTTTCCCAAACGAAACAATCTACAGTTCCGGAACATTTCACGGAAGCACTCGTACAGCTCCTTTCAGTATGACAGAATACAGTCAGTAGTATTAGTATGCCAGAATACAGTTAGTATTCAGATTAAGAATGTTAAGCAAAAGTCGTTATATAAAAGCATCAAATGCGAATCTCGCACAGTTATCTCTCATTACTCTAAGCTAAACTCAA